TGACAATTTTCTTGTATAAGCAGTGATTTTGTTTGTGATCTTATCAACTAATTTCTTGAATTCCATCTTATTACACTTCCTTGATGTAAGAGGAAGGCCTAGGTACCTTATAGGAAAGGTCCCTAAAGTGAACCCAGTTCTCTTCAGCATATTCTGCCTTGTCACCTCATCTACCCCTGCTATAAACATGCTAGATTTATCTATGTTGCCTCCATCCCTGTAACATCACTAAAATGCTGTAAGGCCTCCATCACTCTAGCTATGGATTTCAGACTTCCTTTACAGAATATCATCAGGTCATCTGCAAATACTAAGTGAGTTAACTTTGTTTTCTTGCACATGGGGTGATATCTGAAGTCAGGGAGATCGCTCATCTTACTAAGAACCCTTGAAAGATATTCCACTACTATAACAAATAGGAGGGGTGAGATAGGATCCCCTTGCCTAAGTCCCCTCCTGCCTTCAAAATAGCCATGGTTTTCTCCATTAATTCTAATAGAAAATTGGGTTGTAGTAACACAAGTCATCACCAGTTTACTGAATGAATCTGGAAATCCAAATCCTTTCAGAGCTTCCTCTATGAAATGCCAATTGATCATATCATATGCCTTCCTCAGGTCAATTTTCATAAGGCACCTAAGAGATGTTTTCCTATTATAGTGTCTCAGTAAGTCATGGCAGATTAGGACATTATGAATCAATAATCTACCTTCAACAAAAGCTGTCTGGTTTTCAGCTACTAGTATTGATACAGTTTTCTTAAGCCTCTTGCACATCATCTTGGTAATGCATTTGTATATGATTACACGCATAACACGCGTACTCTAAGACTAGTATTTAAATTTGTAAGACAAGTCAAAAACTTTGGGGCAAGTACGACGGTTTACTATTCCAATCCTGAGAAATAGACCACTCTTTGCCTGCAATCATTAATTTATAGAGATTTTCTTTTGTAAGAACATTAAAAGATTTCGATTTTAGTATGAAAATAAAATTTTTATAAAGCTTTTTTTTCCTTCAAATTTCTTGTCGACAAAACGAATCCATGAAAACCTAGAGAAACTGGCAATTCATGTTATATAGGTAGAAACAATTGGTGACATAATTATCTTGTTAAGACTAGTTTAAAGAAATAAGACAATCAATATTAATAGTCTTTGTATGGGTCAGAATCCGACCCCACGATAATTAACGAAGCTAATCCCGTCTTAAGCTAATTCATGATTAATTAGTGGTACGACCACTCAGAATTAACGGTATTCAACCTTTATCTGATTCGATCAACAAGGCCACGGCCCATCCGTCATCATGAAGGCAAAACCCAACGTGGTCACGGCCACTTATTGCCAGCTCACGAAGCTCACAGCTATAAATGCCAAGAGAGGAAACCATATTAAAGGGGGGCTTCTTCTTAACTATTGAGAGGAGAGAGAAAAAGAGGCAACGATGCACATATGTGGAATACCATTGTAAGGCTCTGAACCTCTTCATGGAGAGGCAGACCAAAGCAATATTATCAATAAAAGCTTTTATGTTTCTCTTCCTAAAGTTGAGTACTTATTTTTGCATCCTTCATTTGGTCTAATGGATTATTACGGTTTGCTAGGATTTTCCCGTGATTTAATTATGTTGTTTTATACTCCTAAAGTATGTGATAACTTTTGAGCAAACAATTTGGCACCGTCTGTGGGGATTTCCTAGTAAAATCGCGTAGTTCTTCCCTGGACCAAAAAGGAAGAAACGCCAGAAAAGGCAAACAAAAGCAACCCAGCTCAAACAAGCCAAAGCGGCATGTCGGACAAGGGGAACTCGAAGATCTCAAATCAAGATCCAAGTCCTCTCTCTCTCTGATCTCGGATAGTGCAAAGAAGAAGAAGAAGCCCCTCCTAAGGGAAGATCTCTGTAAGGCATCTCCCGCATCCCTGATACGAGCTCCGGCCAGAAACCGGCACGGAGATATCTCGAGCCGAAAGTCGCCTCAAGACAGCCTATATACCCTGGTTGGGAAGACAAAGGATAAGCCGCTCAAGGTCTCGAATCAAAACCGAACTTCAGCACTCAATACCCACAATATTGGATTCAGGCTAAGCGCCTTCGCCACTAAGTTCAACAACAGTTGAACTGGGACTCAGGCTATGCGCCTTCGCCATCAAAATTGACAAAGTTCAACAACAGTCGAACTGGGACTCAGGCTATGCGCCTTCGCCATTAAATCAAGGCTATGCGCCTTCGCCAATAAGTTCAACTACGGTTGAACCAAGACTCAGGCTATGCGCCTTCGCTAAGAAGTTCAACTGCGGTTGAACCAAGACTCAGGCTATGCGCCTTCGCCATCAAAATTGACAAAGTTCGACAACAGTTGAACTGGGACTCAGGCTATGCGCCTTCGCCATTAAATCAAGGCCATGCGCCTTCGCCAATAAGTTCAACTACAGTTGAACTGGGACTCAGGCTATGCGCCTTCGCCATCAAAATTGACAAAGTTCGACAACAGTTGAACTAAGACTCAGGCTGTGCGCCTTCGCCATCAAAATTGACAAAGTTCAACAACAGTTGAACTGGGACTCAGGCTATGCGCCTTCGCCATTAAATCAAGGCTATGCGCCTTCGCCAATAAGTTCAACTACGGTTGAACCAAGACTCAGGCTATGCACCTTCGCCATTAAATCAAGGCTATGCGCCTTCGCCAGTAAGTTCAACTACGGTTGAACCAAGACTCAGGCTATGCGCCTTCACCATCAAAATTGACAAAGTTCAACAACAGTTGAACTGGGACTCAGGCTATGCGCCTTCGCCATTAAATCAAGGCTATGCGCCTTCGCCAAGAAGTTCAACTACGGTTGAACCAAGACTCAGGCTATGCGCCTTCGCCATCAAAATTGACAAAGTTCGACAACAGTTGAACTGGGACTCAGGCTATGCGCCTTCGCCATCAAAATTGACAAAGTTCAACAACAATTGAACTGGGACTCAGGCTATGCGCCTTCGCTATTAAATCAAGGCTATGCGCCTTCGCCAGTATGTTCAACTACGGTTGAACCGAGACTCAGGCTATGCGCCTTCGCCATTGAATCAAGGCTATGCGCCTTCGCCACTAAGTTCAACAACAGTTGAACTGGGACTCAGGCTATGCGCCTTCACCATCAAAATCGACAAAGTTCAACGACAGTTGAACTGGGATTCAGGCTATGCGCCTTCGCCATTAAATCAAGCCTATGCGCCTTCGCCAGTAAGTTTAGCTACGGTCGAACCAAGACTCAGGCTACGCGCCTCGGCCATCAAATCCAACGAGTTCGACCTCGCTTGAACCATAAGGCTAGACGCCTTCGTCCTCAAATCTAACAAGTTCAACCACAGTTGAACTAGGACTCGGACCAAGCGCCTTCATCATTGAACTCAGCAAAACCCAACCTCCAACGAATCGAGGCGCAGGTTAGGAGCCTCGCCATTCGAGTAAGTATTCCCAGCTCGAACTAAGATTAGGAACACGTAAAGTCCGGCCCCGGTCAAACTACAAGGCCGCATTTTTTATCATCACGGTCGGTAGTTCGACCGCGCCCGAACTGGGACTAAGGCTAAAGGCTAAGTGCCGCTATCGCCAAGCAACGGCTCCGACTCGCTCACCCCGAGTCGAAGAAGAAAAGTCGTCAACAATCAAAAACTAACATCCTACCAGAGTCAAACTCAAAGGTAAATCACCCCTTCGAACGCATGCAAAGAAAAATCTAAAAGGGAAAAANAAGTTGAGTACTTATTTTCGCATCCTTCATTTGGTCTAATGGATTATTACGGTTTGCTAGGATTTTCCCGTGATTTAATTATGCTGTTTTATACTCCTAAAGTATGTGATAACTTTTGAGCAAACAATCTTAATGCTCCATATTATTATTTGGTATTTATGAATGCTTTGGTCCAAGGAATTACACATGATCATGAGATTTTTATTAAAAATCTGAAAGTTGAAAGGTCATGTGGACAGATATAGCGATGCTTTCGATTCACTGTACTAGGAGTCTAGGACATGGCTATGGTACTAAAAAGAAATATGGAAAAACTATTTTAAAGTTTTTCTTTAACTTCTAATTTTGTTTCAGCTAAAAACGGAGTATTTTAAAAGTATAAAATTGCACTTTATATATGACACTTCAGCTATGTATCTCCCATGTATCTATGTGTATCTCATTGTATATTTCACGTGTATTTTTTGTGTATGTACTACTTGTATATCTCCTTCACATCCATGTATACCTCTATGTGAGATACATGTTTGATATATATATCGTAGAAAAATTATTAAACTAAATTTTAACTATGATTTTTGACTCAAAACTAGTCCAAATCACCTCTAATATTCCTCAATTTTTTTATATTGTCTTATCTATGTATTGTCATGAAATTTTAGCCATTCCCATTAAAAAATAACTTTTGCCTATAGTTTTTGAATTTTTTACATCATTAATCACGAACTTTGACTTAAACTAGTCCAAATCACCTCTAATCTCTCTTAAATTTTATATATTACTTTATTTATGTGTGTTTTGATGAATTTCAAATATATCCATTGAAAAAAAAATATTTTTTTGCCTAATTTTTTTGAATATTGTGTATTATTGATAGCTTTTTATGGCTACTTTGGTAGTAACTAATTGTTGGTAGATATTGTCTATTCTTGTAGTTTTCCTCCATTTAAATCCGACTCTACCCATACTTTCCTCCAAGTTTGACATTTGGGCTCGGGCTTGGGCTTGTTCTAGGTTTGGTCTTGAATTAAGTGAATGAGCAAATTATTTAGGAATTTTTACCTCCTATAGCAAATATTAACATCATATTTATTTTAAATAAATACCATTTAAAAAAATTGTACTATAGATACATTTTAATGTTTATAGCAAAATATCTAATTTTGATTAACTACTACTCCTAAGCCACTAAATACGCTATTCAGTTACAATATTTTCTCAATTATTTAATTACTTCAACGGTCAAAAACAGTAACGGAAATCAACAAGTGCAAGCAAAAGGAGAAGAAATGGTGAAAGCAGTAGTGGGAGAAGAAATACAGCTCAAATTAGCTGAAAATCGGCTCGGCAAATCTGGACTTCCTTCTCAGGTATCCAATTCATGTATTACGGAATTTACATATAAACACTGATGATATTTTTTTAACAGGTAGGGCTTGTAATTGGGAATTTGAGTTCGAAATTAGATCGAGGATTCCTATTTGATTTAATCCCAACGCCGCCAAACGACGGCGGTAAACCGGCCTGTTCCATAATCGGCGGCAGCATAAAAGATGATCGGAAAAGGCATTGAAAGGGAAGTTGCAGCCTGATTCTTCGGCATTGTTCATTGACCAAGATTGGGTTGCTAAACACGCTCGTCAGGTTCACTTTTTAGCCTTTTTGTTTTTCTCTACTTTCTGTTATGTGTATTTTATGTCTGCTAGATTATCAAAAATCCTTCCGCTTTTGCCCTTGGATTGTAGAGAGGTAGGAGAAGTGCCATATACGTGTAATTGAAGAACATTAGCCAAAATCACGAGTCAAAAAATTGCTTGTCTCAAATGTTGGAAAACTTTGGTTGTTGAACTGTTGGCTTGTATGGCAGTATGGCATTGGGTATATTTTTTCTGCACTAGTATGATAGAAGGAAGAAAGAGATTCTTTTTCGAGGGAGCGGAATGAGAAAAAAGAGGAAGGAGGGAACACTTTTTCTTTTTTTCTTTTGACATATCACATTCCATTGTTAAAAATGCCAGAAGAATTAATTAGCTTTTTTTTGCATTTTTTTCGGTGGAAATTGTAATATTTTAGTGACAGGAAGCGAATCCATGAGTGACTCTTGGGTTAGGCTATTAAAGCTTCTGGTTTAAGCCCCCCAAGAGTCAAAGGCGCCCCTAAATTTTTTCTATTAGTTATAATTATTTATATTAGTAAAGTTCTTTAGTTATAATTATTTATATTAGTAAAGTTCTTTTTGAGTTAACAGGACATTAACATTTTATTTTAATATACTATATTTGGTTCTAATTATCAAATATTTTATTAATAGATATGAATATTTGAATAATTTAACTCAAAATTTTAAAATATTAGACAATGTTATACAGTGTAATACTTAAAAGAGAACTTAAAACCTGAAAGAAAATTTGTTAAGACATTATGATTTTTTCTTGGTTATCTAAATTAATCGTGTTTATTTATCCAACCGTTGTCACATTAGTAATGTTATTTCCTTACATCTTTTTAAGTTTTGGCTTTAGGCCTCCGATTTCAGTGAGCCGCCCTTGAGCGAATCGAGAATCTTTTGGTATGACTACCTTGCACCAAAGTATCTTCAGTAGTCTATTCCTCGTAGAATTTATTTATGGAAAGAATAAGAAACCCTTAACAGAAAAATATGGAAACATGTTTTTCATGGAATGGAAGATAAAAACAAAAGCCCAAAAAATCATGAACGAAATATTTCCAGTCTATATTCTTGGTACGTTATGCCAATTCAAAATGGTAGACTTTTCTTGATCATAGTGGTCTAGTAATATAACAATAGCCATGTGTTTATTTGAGTGGTCCTACCCTATTGTCTCAATATTCATTCTAAGATTAGTCTTTGACCTAATCCTCTGAGATGATTGTACTAATTTTATTAACATTTTTAGATGAAGCTTCTCTTTCAAACTGCGTGATCCGTAAGTTAATATAGAATTTTACACAAATAGCCGGTCAAATTTATTGCTTATTTTTTCTAACCAGTATAAACAAATTAAATAGTACAATGGGCAACTATTTAAGTAAATTATTTAGACGTTAAAAAGAGGTAATTACTTANGCTCCGACTCGCTCACCCCGAGTCGAAGAAGAAAAGTCGTTAATAATTAAAAACTAACACGCCTACCAGAGTCGAACTCGAAGGCAAATCACCCCTTCGAGCCCATGCAAAGAAAAATCTAAGGGGGAAAAAGAGGAGGTACAAAACAGATACAAGGCAAATAACGGAAAGGAGATCTCATTTATCCACGAAATTAATTGCGGGTCATCCCCGCTTACACCCGGCCAAGGCCGATCAATACAAGGAAAGAGAAAAGAAAAACAAGAAACACCTAAACGCCAAACGGCGAACAAGACAAGAAAAAATGCATAACATCTTTTTACTCGGCGCCATCCGCGCCACCATCTGCACCAGCGTCAGCCTCTGGCGTCGCCGCGTCAAAACCACAATTGGTACGGGCCTCACGAGCCTTTTGACGCGCTCCCTCGAAAGCAGCTTCGGTCACGATGCCGGCCTCCCACAAATTCTTATATACATCACGTTGGGCCTCGGCAAAGACCCAAAGTTCGCGAGCCTGGCTGGAAGAAGCGGCTTGGTCCCGTAGGCGCTGATTCTCTTCTTCTAAGGCTGTGATCCGGTCCGCCATGACTTGGGCGTCCTGCTCAAAGACACCGATCCGCTCCTCGAGACTCGCTTCTCTAAAGGCCGCAGCAGCCCTCTCCAACGCCCATTGGGACTCGTGCACGCGGATAACTTCCTTCAACGCCCCAACCCTCGACGAGGCATCCCTCACCTGAAGCTTCAATACCGCGACTTCACCCTCCAACGCAGTCACTTTCCCGCTCCATGCCGCAGCGGCCTCCGCCGCCTTAGCCTGGCCCTGACGCTCACACTCAGCTACAGCCCTCCTCCCCGCCTCGAGCTCCTCATCCTTCCGCCGGAGCTGCTCCTCGAGAGCACTCGCTCTGCCAAGTGTTTGCTGCATCTGAAGCTCCCGCCTCGCCACTTCCTCGACCAAGGTTCGACTACGGGGATCATTCCTCAAGCGCACGCGCATCTCTCGGCACTAATCTCGGTAGCGGCGGTACTTCTCCAGCGCCCGCAAAAATATCCCCGAGCGGATGCTGGCTTGACGGATGCTCTCCACCTCCAACAAATAAGACTGCAAAACAAAGACAACGATTAAGATAAAGAACAAACTAAGACGAAGAAGAAGCGAACCGACGTTATATTACATACCCTCAAGCCCATCACAGCCACTTCATTCATCAGTCCGACATCCATAACGCCCCTCAACGATGCATTCTCGGCCTCCGAGCATAGCAGCTCGAACTACGGCACCAAGCTTTCCCCTTGGAGAAATAAGTTCAACTCCGTGGGAACCTCGATGCAGCGAGATCGTCCCTCTGCGCGCACCGCTGAATTGGTGAAGCCTTCGTGGAACATACGGACGTCGTCGGGGTCCAAGTCGGATTCAGACTCGTATTCATCTTCTACAGCATCCCTTCCTCCTTTCGCCACCAACGAGGTGGAACCGCCTGTCGTAGCCACCAAAGGAGTGCTTAACTCACCAACATTAGCAGCCGCTGAGGAACTACCTCCCGTCTCAGCGACTAGAACCACCAACTGAGTCGAGGAAGCGACGGTATCATCATGGCCTAAGCCAGCCGGGGCAACCCCCATTGTCTATCCGCCCTCAAGGGCAGGCGCCGCGACCGCACTCCTCTCCGCATCCGTCGGAGGAGAGTCTAAATTAATCACCACAGGAGGAGCCGGCGTGAACGCGACCCTACGCCTTATCAATGGCCTCTCCTCATCCCCATCTGATGGCGATTCCGCTCTAAGGCGCACAACCCCCGATGGCCCCTCGTCTCGAAGTGTGGCCCGTGCTGGAGAAGGAACCGCTGAAGATTCAATTGATGCCGCCCTCGGTATTGGGCGCGACACCGGTGCTGCAGTAAGTCGAGCAATTGCACCTGGCCGACGGAAGGCCAACTGAGGGGCCCTCCCTGATCACAGAAAAACAAAGTTGATGAATAGAGTTGAAACAAAGCGAAACAGAAGAAGAAATCTATTTTTTACCTGCCACAGGCCTACGGCCATGCCTCTCCCAGAAAGACGCCCATGTGAGTATCCCCACCGTATGGGGGAGCACGGCCTCAACCCACTCACGAATCCCAGCCAACGGAGCCAACGACAACTTTTCGGCTACAAAATTGATACGAGTTAACGTTTATGAGCACAAGACGTAAGGAGGGGCAGAAAAGGGAATTCGACGATTAAGGAACTTACGTGCATGATTCCAAGCCTCTGGGAACCCAGTAGAGCACGCCACTAAATGTTCAGTCCTGATGTAGAAGAAGTGCTCGAAAGGGCGAGGGTCGACCTCATCATCCAGTTTCACAGTCAGGCCCCTCGTCCCGCGAGGGCACGCTCGAATCATGGTACCACGAACTCTCTGAGGAGCGTAGAGGCTAAGCACATGCTGCAGCGTGACCTCCCTACCGGCCAGTTTTGCATATTTGATAAGCATTGCTAATAATTTGTAAAGAGAAGGAGCAGGCTGACCCGGGCATACCCCGTAATAACGACAGAAATCAACCACTAGCATTGGGAGCGGGAGCTTAAACCCCAACTTGAAGGGATAGGCGTAAAAGACGCAGTATCCCCTGCGGTCGGTGTGGACCCTCTCCTCGCTTCTAGCGAGAACGACGTCAGCATAGCTGGGGATGACCCCATGTCCCCGTAGTTGGGCCATCCCAATCTCCCCCATTAACGAGGCTTCATCCACCTGATCCTCCCCACCATCGGCGGTGAAATCAGTCATCGGACCTTCGGGCAGAGATACTATCTCGTCAACTGATGGAGCTTCATCGGTCTCCACCAGTTCTGCACCTCCCATTGCCGGAGANNATGGAGCGCGTGAGGACATTGAATTGTGTTCTTTTCTTTTTCTTTTCAGTTTTAAAAAATAACCTTTATTTTTGTGGACCCACATACCTTCATCTTTACTTCCCCTTCTTCTACCAGCTTCTGAACTAAACTCCTCGGCAACTTCATCTTCAACTGAATCGGTCCATTATTCGGCTTCGAAATCGACAAATCAGAAGCCGATCTTCGTGTTAACATGAGACACTCGAGTCGACCCTTTGCACTCATCTGAACAGCAGATTTCACTCTTCTTGGAACTCTACTAATTTCTTCTTTAGGAAACAAAGGCAATTCAACAAGGAAATATATTTTGTTTGGCTTCAGTTCTTGTTCTGGTTTCAGTGGCTTAGCTCTGACAACAAACTTCTTCACTGCTTCTGATTCCAGTAAAACATGACCTGGGTAGTCTTTTACTACGTCCAACGTTATTACTGGTGTTTTCAGTTTCAAGATTTCGCCATTAATCTTCATCACCTTCAAGGTTCAATCTAAATTTTTCTTTGCCCAATTTCTTGCAGATGAAATGGTGGTCATGGGTTCAACGAGTAAGGGGAAGGGTTTGAGAAAGCTTGGAAGAAGAGTTAGGGAAGGAGGAACTGGTTTAGGAGAAAAGTTTTTTTTCTTTTTCAAATATTTTTTTTTGTTAATTATATGTGTCAAATTCTTATGGCAAAATTACACGTGTCATTTTTTGATTGGTTCATTTGCCATGTTATCCGCAAGTGCAACTCACGCATATGGCCTGCTGTACTCAGGTGTTTACTTGACTTACTTAATAGCCACTTGAAGTGTTTAACTGGAAATAGTCTCAGTTGAGTTGTTCAACTGACCGTTGTGGACAACTTGAAGGGCCGTTTATGTATTTCGCCTTTATAAATTATAACTACTCTTATAGTTTCCATTCCACCATTTAAATCCGACTCTACCCATACTTTCCTCCAAGTTTGACAATTGGGCTTGGGCTTGTTCTAGGTTTGGTCTTGAATTAAGAGAATCCCAAGTAAGAAAATTATTTAATTACCTCAAAAACAGTAACAGAAATCGAAGAGTGCATGCAAGCAAAAGGAGAAGTAATGGTGAAAGCAGTGGTGGGAGAAGAAATACAGCTCAAATTAGCTGAAAATCGGCTCGGCAAATCTGGACTTCCTTCTCAGGTATCCAATTCATGTATAACGGAATTTACATATAAACACTGATGATATTTTTTAACAGGTAGGGCTTGTAATTGGGAATTTGAGTTCGAAATTAGATCGAGGATTACTATTTGATTTAATCCCAACGCCGCCAAACGACGACGCTAAACCGGCCTGTTCCATAATCGGCGGCAGCGTAAAAGATGATCGGAAAAAGGCATTGAAAGGGAAGTCGCAGGCTGATTCTTCGGCATTGTTCATTGACCAAGATTGGGTTGCTGAACACGCTCGTCAGGTTCACTTTTTAGCCTTTTTGTTTTTCTCTACTTTCTGTTATGTGTATTTTATGTCTGCTAGATTATCAGATTTCATGGAAAAGGCCATCTTAGCGAATCATCAGCATATTAGCTTATGGTTTAATATCTTTATCTTTCAGGTAGGGAGAATGCTATTGGGTGGCATGAAGGTGGTTGGCATCTATGTCTGGACCAATGAGAGCTCATTCAAAAATTCAACCATCACACTTTGTCAGGTTTTGCTACTATAACTTGAAGTTATAGTTATCTTCACCGCTTCGTACTGAGGGTCTATCAGAACAGTAGTATTGTGTTATTTCCTTGAATAGGAGGCTCTTGTGTAGTCTGTCTCCATTGTTTTTTCTTTAACTTCAGTTACCTTCCAGAAAAAGTTTGGAGAAACATGAAACTTATAATTTTCGATTTCCCATCACTCGTAATTACTTTTCAATGAAAATTTCTGTCATTATTGGTATTCTTACTCTCTTTCTCGTTTGCTAATGGTATAACTGTAAAGACTGCAAAAGCAGTTTCTGAAGCGGCCCCTCTGTCGGAAGTGGATTGGGACGAGAGATTGCTTGTTCACATTGGTTACAGTCCCTTGAGGTAACTTTGTGTAACTATGTGTTGTTATATTCAAGTTGGCGTTATTATTGATTTAGCAAATAACAATGTATTCCAGGTGGACTTGTCGAAATTGCTCGCTGGCTTCAAATATTACGTCGAGCAGTCTACGACCTTGTGACTTTAAAATGGGAAAAGTTCTTAGTACCCTTCAGGCATTCAGATGCACATTTAACTTTGATTTAAGGTGAACTTTGTTTGCTACTGGTATTGCTCATTTGTTATATCATTCTTTGATGTATTGAACAGAACACTAGCTCTGATATCTTAGTGTCACATTTCAGATTAAAAAAGAAGTTCCATCTATCTCAAGCAACTCATTTGTTTCGTTTTTGATTGTATGATTGTTGGTTAGTATATTTCTGTTTTGGCATGACCAGGGGGCAAAAAATCCTTCCGCTTTTGCCCTGGGATTGTAGAGAGGTAGGAGAAGTGCCATATTAGTGTCATTGAAGAACATTAGCCAACATCGCGAGTCAAAAAATTGCTTGTGTCAAATGTTGGGAAACTTTGGTTGTTGAACTGTTGGCTTGTATGGCTGTATGGCATTGGGTATATTTTTTCTGCACTAATATGATAGAAGGAAGAAAGAGATTGTTTTTCGAGGGAGGGGGGACGGGAGATGAGAAAAAAGAGGAAGGACGGATTTGAATATTAGTTCCATTAAGTGTAACTGCTGCAAATTTAGATCAAGTGGTATGCAATAAAGTGTTCAACGTCTCCTTTGGTTGGTTGCAGCCAATTTATATTATAACTCTTAGTCTGTTAGGATCATTTTGGTGCAGTAAAGAAGTATGATTAATAAACTACTACCTCCATGTGATGGTGAACTGGAGGTTGCGTCTAGATTAGGTCAAACACTTTCTCTTCTCTGTTTTTGACTTTTTATTGCTTTACACTTACTTTTCGTTCGATGTATCCCTATATAATATATCTCCGAGAGTAACGTATATCCACCGTGCCAGTGGCAAAAATATTCAGTTTTCTGACTTTCCTAATATTAGGTATGTCAAATATGATATTTTCTGTCAGAATCATGGCTCTGATGGATATATCGGAACCATTATTGTGCATTCATGACACTGTTACCATCCCCTAGTTCATGTTTGCGACAAAAATGGTTCACTTCAAACTTGTGTTACCTTGTTAGTACCGCCATATAACTCGTGAACTGTTTCCCCTGTTCCTACCCTTTTGTTTTTTCCTGAATTATAAAAATCAATTATGTTTGTTAATTCTTTTTAGTGAATTCTTTTAGAGATCTCAGAGAAGTTCAGAAAATTGTCTCACGGTTGAGCAATGTGTTTCCAGGTTGCCCATTTCCGAGGATTTAGTGAGCAAAAGATTGGCTGACATTCTTCGTCATGGAATTTCAATTCATGCCAAAGAGCTTAAAAGTGCCAAGGCGTTGATTGATGGGAAATTGGTAATGAACTCTGAACTTCTGGTATCAGTCTAGAACAACCAATATCCTTAAACTTGGATGCTAGTTTTCCTCTTCTGCATCCTGAGGTCCACGCCTTATGATTTTACTACCTCCTGGTGTTGCCACTTGTTTTTTTCTTTCTTTCATTTGAATCTAACAGAAAAGACGCACTCTAAATGGTTCTGGTTCTTGAGTAAAATAACATATCAAAGTGGCCTTAAAATATGTGATAGGCTGCTTCTTTAGACTTGATTTGCTTGCTGACCCTCTATCAAAATATGAACCCGATCTCCTTCCCTGGTAACTATGCTGGGCTATATTTCACCTTCTTTTCTTTCATTTCTAGGCAATTGAAGACGAGCAATTTGATTCAGGCAGCTTACATGATGTTGAATTCCTCCTACCTTTCACGGAAGATAGGTATTTGGAAGGTCTGTAAACATTTTCCAATTTACACAATTAGCCTTTCTTTTGAATTTGACTAAATATAAGCTAGTTGCTGTATAAATAATTTCATCTGTTTCTCATTCTTTTCTTTTTATATTTTGTTTTTATGAAGCATGCAGCCAAAAGGAGGTAATAGGTCTTCTAGTCTTCAGTGGCTCTATCTGCTCCTATGCTTACTCAAATTCGAAGGAACCGGTTTCTCAAGCTTTGACTGACATAAAGGTATTCTAACTTTGCATCTGATGGTGTTTGCTTAAGGACTCAATAATTTAGTACATTTCTCTTGCTTATGCATTCGTGGACGTTAGAGATGTTCCAATAGATCTGGTTCCATTTGTCGGCCTCCAAAAAGCCATATTATCAGAGCATATTAGATGGATTACTGGAAGCAGAAAGCTTCTTTTGTGTTTTCTCAAGATCACAGATGCATAGTACAGCTGGTTCTAGATTTAGTGTCGATTTTATCTCAAAAGGAGTATTTTACTGTTTGGATTAGTGGTTAATTTGAATTTATCTTACATTTGCTCTGCTTGATGTTAAATCGTGGATCCTGGTTGTCTTCTTGTTTTTTGGTCAGCATTTAACTTCTGGTCTTCTTGGTGCTTAGGAAGACATAATTAAGAGTCTAAGAAGCAGATTAGATATCATGTGTGATGAGGCAGACAGAGAATCAGATTCTAAAGATGACAAAGCTGAAGAGAGCAGCAACCGGATATTGAATGGGAGTGCAGTTCTGCAACTTGATTTACAGTTACTGAGGTATAGCACGGTCTAATGGAATCTATTCTCCTCTAAATGTCCAAAATCAACCCTGTGACTTCTTTTCACCATGACATCCTCATCCGTTAGTAAAATTCTCTAGTTCTTTATCTTTTTTCTGGTCTAAGCTTTAGTATTTTATAGAGATTCATTTGACTCATTATAAGCTTTAAATTAAAAATTGAGAACTTGACACTTCCTCTATCATTTTTTTATTGAGAACTACAAAAGTAAATTTGCCATTGGTCATATTTATGACCCTATGACTGAAAAAGATGTGACCTCTTTTTGACCTTATTGGTGGATTCTCATTAGTTGTGTTTATTTTCTCTGAGCAGCGTTATATCATGTTCTGCTTACACTAGATTCATAATCAAAATGTACTCCCTGATGAGGCACAGATAGTTAAGTTATAATCATTTGCTTTGTTGGTGAAAATAACCTTATACTCACAGAAGGAAGATCCATTAACGTAATATACAGGGCCACAGTTTGTTTTGTTACATGTTGAATATGGGGTACTCAGGGCATATAGTGTATCCCAAGGCATATAGTGACAACTCATTCTGGATGAGTGTTCCGCTGTTTTCAATGGTGATATCACTTTTTTTTTTCCTAGCATGTGGAAGTGTTATGCGTTTTGCCATATATCTTCCTGTATGTATAGTTGGGCCACAATTGAATATGGTGTAGGAGATCCCCCATCATTAACATTAGTGTGTACTGTAGTTGGTCTGATTTAGATGAATTTAAACGGAGAATCATGGTCAGTAGCTTGTCTGTTGTTTCCATACCATAGTGGCATGATGATGATGTCGATGATGATTACTGTCGTTTTTATATTGTTGTACTTTTCTTTATAGAGTAGCATGATTATTGTTATTAAAATCTAAGATTAAAAGAATTTCATTTTGCTTATCAGTTTTGTAGTTTCTCACACTTTGACCTTCATCTTTTACTGGACGGTAGTCGGTAGCAATTGGCTTCTTAGTAATGCTGAAATGGTTAACTTGATCTTTTAAACAGAAAAGAGTGCAGCCTGTCATTTCCTCGAAGAGTGTTTCTACCCTGGCTGGCTGATACATTCCTTTGTGACTATATACAACCGTCTGAATCAGTTGAGGTGAGTTGTGCCCATATTCTTTGGTGAAGCAAGTAATATTTCTCAGCTATAGTTTGTTTTATTGGTCTTATAATGAAACATAAATGATATTTTTCTTTAGTCTTATTGCCTTTTTGCCTTAAAAGCAGAAGAAGTTATGTCTTTGATGTTGAATGTGTTGGAATAGGCACTAGTTCAAAGTCCTGTAACTATACTGAAGCTGCAGGTACTTCTTTCTTTGCTTGTTTGCATCTCTAAAACACTTTGAGAGCTTGGTGGTAGAATACATGATTCTTGTACAGTTCTTCAGTAGTTGACCGCCTTAAGGAATGTGTTCCTTATGAATTTTTAGGATAAAAATGATTCAACCAATACCTCTCTATATTGGTTGTCGTTAACTGAAGCTTCTTCCTTTATCACTGAACCATGAGCACACTTTTGTCGATGTCACTCTTGCTGAGATCTTACTGCAACATTTTGTTGTCTCCCTGTGATAATTGTGTATGGGGCTGTACATTAAAGGTTCAGCTGCTAAAGAATTGGATCTCCCTTGGCAACTAAGCTAATTGGTAAATTAATTGTTTGAGCAGTATTTGTTAGATCATTTTTTACCCTACCATATTGCTCAATGCAACTAAACATGTCATAATTTTGAGATTATACCATACATTCAGCTCTGATGTGCTATAGTTTGACTTAGGTTCTCAAGGATCATTTTGCCGAGCTCATGTCTATAGAGTTCCCGAACGATTCTGCCAAGATCTTGGAGCCTGAAACTGAAGCTCCTGCATTGGTATCTACCACAATAAAATCGTTTAGGGAGGTGTCAACTCCATCTTCCTTGCTACTACCAAAGCCAGACAATTCTCTCTCAAGGCAGAATAGAGCTGGTACGAGTTTGGGAAGTGACCAGAAATCTACGAAACTATCTAGTTTTAGCTTCATTATTGCTGTTTTGGTTCTTGTTATATCAATTGTTCTAGGAGTTGTGCTATTTGTTGCCAGGTCGTCCTAGCTAATACTGTGGCTTACAAAAAATTGTGTTGAGAACAAATATCATTTACTGTCTCTTCTATAGTTCTATGTACTCTTGCCATGAATTAAAACGTCTAGAAATTTCTTTTTTTTTTTAGGGGGGGGGGGGGTCGTGTGTGGATGGGGTGGGGTGGGGTGTGAGTTTACGCTAATCCAGAGATTATTGTTATACAAAGTTCTGTTTTCATGACAACAACTTTGATTTTCAGATGTTAAGATTTTCAACTGAGAAATACAAACTAAAACAGATTTTCGACAGCCTTGGTTGAACTCAGTCGGAGAAGAGTAAAATATTGCAAGGAAAAAGCTGTCTTGGATGAACATACACCACAAACAAAATGATGAACAAAATTCAAACCATAAACGCCTGGAAGGCAGGCAGGCTTCCTGTCCTTCTGTCTCGACTCTCCAGTCATTAATGTGTTGTATAAAATATTACAACAATAATACATACTTAATAATACTTTTACGACACAGTAGTGCCGTAGAAGAAACCAGACTAGCACTTGCTTGAATAAAATTTCTCAGAGAACTGATACCCGTTGGTCACCCTAATAACGCTAATTTAACCACATGAGTATTCACTTACTTAGAAAGAAACATTCCAAACTAAAATTATATGCAAGTTTTCTCCTTGAATCACAGAAATTAGCAAAAGCCTTACAGATGACCAAATTAAAAGTCAAAACAATATGTGCACATGTCCGTACTCGTAACATCGCCTCTGGTTTTCAGACCACGATAGAAACAACAGAACTCAATAATTTCATAATCAGAAACAAAGAAAGTAGAGAAAAATCGGATAACCCAGAGAGACCGAAAGAAGACAGAGGAATTGACCTAAAAGGACTCTAAAGTGGTCTAATTTACGTTCAGCTAGGAAATAATGTAAACTAAACAGAGGGGCAAAACTGACCTTTTGAGCCGCAGCACCACGACCAAGTCCTGCTTACTCCCGCTTCTAAATAGTAGGAACTAGTATTTAAGTACAATCCATCATGATCAGTAGAGTAAGAAAATGAAATAGTGCAAAATTTCGAGTTAAATTTGTTGATTTTAGAGAGAGAAATTTTGTAAAGAGAGCAAAATGAATATTCTTCTTATTATGATTCTGTAACCGTTTTACAAGAGTTGAAAATGAATATATAGCTAACTAACTAACCTCCTTACTCATGTGCATAATTACCCCTATTCTAGAAGATAGTAGAAGCTACTATTATTTTATGTACAGAGGATAACAAAAGAAAATACTAAATTGATGTAAGTCAGTAAGGAATTAGCTGATGAAGGCCCAATATGCCAATAGGCCCAATAACCAGTTGTAACTCGTGTAGCCCAATAGTGCCATATAGTGAGAAGAAACCCTTATCTTCTTTTCCATTTCATTGTTGTCAAGAAACCTATCTTCATTTTTGTTTCCATCGGCAACACCCCCCTCAAGTTGGAGGGGGCGGAAAGCACGCCCAACTTGCCCAGTAAACTACGATGGAGAGGCCCAGAAAGGGGCTTGGTAAACAGGTCAGCGAGTTGATGGTGAGAAGGAAGAAAGGAGAGAGAGATGAGCCCTGCTTGGAACTGCTGCCTAACAAAATGGCAATCAAGTTCCACATGTTTGGTACGCTCATAGAAAACGGGGTTTTTGGCGATATGGATGGCGGCTTGACTGTCAGAGTGAAGAGGCACCGTCAACGAAGGAAGAACAGAAAGATCGTCAAGTAAATGAACGAGCCAGGACAGTTCAACAACGACTCGCCGCATGGACCGGTACTCGGCTTCAGCGGAAGACAAAGAGACGGAAGGTTGTTTCTTGGACTTCCAAGAAACAGGACAGCCTCCTAGACTAATAAAAAACCCACTGACAGAGCGACGACTATCAGGACAAGAACCCCAATCAGAGTCGCAAAAAGCAAGTAAATCAAGAGAAGGATCAGCACTCATGAAGAGACCTAAAACAGGGTCACGAAGGAGATAACGAAGACAATGATGAGCAGCAGAGAAATGAGGCTTGCGAGGGTCTTGCATGAATTGACTAAGATGCTGGACGGCAAAAGAAATATCAGGACGGGTGTGAGTTAAGAAATTAAGTTTGCCCAAAAGACGACGATAGAGCAGAGGATCAGCAAGAGGAGCCCCAACACCAGTACGTAGTTTAGAAGAAGGGTCCAAAGGAGAAGAGGCAGGGGACAAACCAAGGCAGTAAAATTCAGTGAGAAGGTCAATAGTGAACTTGCGTTGGCATATGATCAGACCAGAGGACTCACGAAGTACTTCCATCCCCAAGAAATAAGATAAGTTCCCCAAGTCTTTAATTTTGAATTCATGATCTAAGAATTGTTTCAAATCATTCAGCTCCTGAACATTGTTGCCTGTTAGTAAAATGTCATCCACATAAACTGCCACCAGAGAAACAGAATCACCAGTTTTCTTGTAAAAAAGAGAGTAGTCGTTAAGGGAGTGAGTAAAACCCTTGAAATTAAGAGCAGCAGTCAAGCGAGCATACCACGGCCTAGAGGCTTGGCGAAGACCATAGAGAGATTTCTTGAGTCGACAAACTAGGTTAGGAGAAGGAGGGTCTAAGCCTGCTGGAAATTTCATATAAACTTCTTCATGTAAATCCCCATGTAGAAAGGCGTTATTCACATCCAATTGATAAAGTCCCCAATTTTTTCTGACAGCAATAGCAAGAATGCACCTAATAGTGGTCATTTTGACCACAGGGGAGAAAGTCTCTGTAAAATCAATCCCCTCTAATAACCAAACGAGCTTTGAGCCTTTCCACACTCCCATCAGATTTTAGTTTAACCTTGTAGACCCACTTACAAGGTAAAGCCTTCCTCCCAACAGGTAATGGAACTACCTCCCGAGTATCATTAGCCTTTAAAGCATCAAGTTCCTTAGCCATTGCTGTTTGCCAACTAGGGTCCAATGCTGCCTGAGAATAACTAGAAGGCTCATGGACATTAGGTAGGGAATTTAGCAAACTTTGGTTAGAAACAGAAAGTAGATTGGAAGAAATAGTAGAAGGGGAAACAGGTGAGAGGAAACATGAATTAGATACATTGGTTAGGTGCACTACCCCACAGATGTAGTCAGACAAATAACTAGGAGCATTGTGTTCTCTTAAAGATCTGCGCAAGGCATCAGGAGGAACCTCAGAAGAGGAAACAGGAGGGATGAGAGGATGAGAAGGAGATGGAGAGGAGGAGATAGGTGAACCAGATGAAGAAGTAGAAGGATTAAAAAATAATGTAGAAGGTGAACTAGGAACAGGACTATGATCAGTTGGAGGAAATGAAAATGGAGAGGAAATAGGAGCAGGAGAATCATCAGTGGGGAGAGGAATAGAGGAATCAGAAAAAGTGATAGGTTGTGGTGTAGAAAAATCAACAGTAGAAGAAGGAGGAAAGAACTGAGAGAAAGTAGTGGTAGGATGTGTAAAAGGAAAAACAGATTCATGAAAAATCACATTTCTGGAGACAAAAACCTTATTGGTTGCTAAATTTAATAGCTTGTATCCTTTCTTACCAGTAGGATAACCAAGGAAGACACAAGTGATAGCCCTAGGATCAAGTTTGCCTCTAAGATTAGGCAAAGTAGAAGCAAAACATAAGCATCCAAAACTTCTAAGAAAAGTGTAATTAGGAGGTTTGTGAAACAGTATTTCATAAGGAGATTTGTAGTGTAGAAGTTTGGTAGGAAATCTATTAGTGAGAAAAGTGGCAGTAAGTAAACATTCCCCCTAATAACAAATAGGTACTTTGGAATGAAAAAGAAGAGCTCGACAGGTTTCCATCAAATGTTTGTGTTTTCTCTCAACAATACCATTTTGTTGAGGGGTCACAACACAAGTGGTTTGGTGAATAATTCCTTTGAAAGAAAAATAAGCTATGGCAACAAGACTGCTTCCTAGCTCAAAGGCATTATCAGACCTAACTTTCTTGACTTTGACTTCAAATTGTCTTTCTACCATAGATGTGAAGGATTTGAGCAGTGAAGGCATTACTTTTAGTACTGAGTAGGTATGTCCAAGTACCCCTACTAAAATCATCAACAATAGTAAGGAAGTACTTAAAACCATTGTAGGTGGGTTCCTTGTAGGGTCCCCAGGTATCAATGTGAATAAGTTCAAAAATATGAGAAGTAGAACTTGTGCTGTCTGGAAAAGGTAATCTGTGTTGTCTAGCCATAGGACAAATGGAACAGGGAATATTTTCTTTACAAACAGCAGATTGTGGTAAGATAGAAATATATCTCATGGTAGAAATGGGTAAATGTCCTAGCCTTACATGCCACAGATTTTTATCAGTATTAACAGAGTTAGACATAATATGAGAATTGCAGTATGGTAGAGAAGAATTCTGTGAAAATGTGACAGCTTTATTTGAATGCAGGGAATCAGTAAGCTTGTGAGTTGAGTGGAAAAGGTAAAGACCAGCCTTCACATCACCAAGGACCAGTGGCCTCCTCAAAGAAAGGCCCTGCATCAAACAACAAGTTTCAGCAAAGGTAAGAAGAACTTTGAATTGAGTGCACAGTCTGTTAACTGAAATGAGGTTGAATTTAAAATCTGGGACATAAAGAACTTTGTGTAGAGTCAAGTCCGGATGTATTGTTACTTGTCCTGCCAGAGTTACTCTTACTCTTTGTGAATTAGGAAGATTAACATTAACACGATTAGGTAAAGGCTTGATATTAACAATGATGCTATAGTCAAAAGCCATGTGTTCTGAAGCTCCAAAGTCAAGAATCCAAATATGACTCCTAAGATTGCTTTGTGAATTGGAAAGATTAGACAAGCATGTACCAGCACAATTAGCATTGGCAATGGTTTCAGAATTTGTTGTAGCTTCCTGACCAATTTTAACTTGTTGAAGTAATTCCATTAGTTGTGTCAACTGTTCGTGCTTTATACCAATGGTTGCTTCCACATCATGGGATTGAACTTGACCATAACCTTCATCTGTTGTTACTGCATTTCCTTGAATAGAATTCTGAAATCTTCTTTGTTTGAAATTCTGTGGATAACCTGGCTTGAAATTCAGTGGATAACCATGAAGTTTATAATATTTGTCGATTGTATGTCCTGGCTTTTTGCAATAGTTGCAATTCAGACTTCTCCTGTTGTCTTGATTAGTTCTAAAAGTATAACCACCAGTGTTATTCACTGTAGAGGTTGTAGGTTTAGCTTGAGTTGAATTAAATCTTTGTGTTGACACAGCAAATGACCCAGAGTCACTAGGATAATGTACCATGTTTTGTATCCCTCTTTGCCTTTCCTCTTGCAAGAGTAAATAGTAAGCCCTATCAATATTTGGTGGAGGATGCATCATCATGATATTTTCCCTAACATTAATATATGACTCATTTAGTCCCATTAAAAACTGAACCAATTTCTGTCTCTCTTCAAGTGCATCATTCTTATCATTAGCTCCACACTTACAATCAACACAAATACATACAGTCCTTGCATCAAGTAATTCTATTTCATCCCATATAGCTTTTATCTTGTTGAAGTAAGTAGCAATGTTGGAAGGTCCTTGCACTGTTTCTAATAGTTGTTTTTTCAATTCAAATGATTGTGCTAGGTTGGATTGCCCATACCTATCTTCAAGCTGTTTCCTCAGAATCCTTGCAGATTTAGAGTGAATCACGCTGGGCCTGATGTCTGGAGTAAGGGAATTAAAAAGCCAGGCAAACACCATGTCATTGCACCTTATCCAATATCGCAAATCTGGTAAGTCATCCTTAGGCCTGACCAAATTGTTGTCAATAAAGCGTAGCTTATTTTTAGCAGATAAAGCAATCAAAATTGATTTTCTCCATCCTCCATAACCAGTTCCATCGAAAGGAGGAGAAATCAAACACATTCGAGGAGAATCAGAACATGCAGAAAGTATGGATGATCTGGATCGATTTTGGTTGCTGCCATTTAAATCAGCTTCAAGGAGAAGATCTGAAGAATTCCAATTGAATTTGAGTAAAAAAAAAACAGTTTCAAGGAGAAGATCTGAAGAACTTCAATGAACTAGAGTATAAAATCAAACGATCTTGAAGAGATTTATAACAAAATAGTAGAAAAAATCGAATGGGTCGAGCAGATGCTCTGATACCATGTTGATTTTAGAGAGAGAAATTTTGTAAAGAGAGCAAAATGAATATTCTTCTTATTATGATTCTGTAACCGTTTTACAAGAGTTGAAAATGAATATATAGCTAACTAACTAACCTCCTTACTCATGTGCATAATTACCCCTATTCTAGAAGATATTAGAAGCTACTATTATTTTATGTACAGAGGATAACAAAAGAAAATACTAAATTGATGTAAGTCCAGTAAGGAATTAGCTGATGAAGGCCCAATATGCCAATAGGTCCAATAACCAGTTGTAACTCGTGTAGCCCAATAGTGCCATATAGTGAGAAGAAACCCTTATCTTCTTTTCCATTTCATTGTTGTCAATAAACCCTATCTTCATTTTCGTTTCCATCGGCAACAAAATTAGTTAAAACATAACTCAATGAGTTATTCAAAAGTTACTGTAACATTTCAATATTGATAACAAAAAAGAATTACTAGAAGCAATGATATTGGAGTCATCTACCAGTTACCTGCAGGGCTGAAATCACACAACAAATGTGGGAATATGAAGAGAAAAACATAAATCATGTATCTTTAAGATATCATCAACATGATAGTCAATGCTAAAAAAGGCCGAAAACTATGCTGGAAAATCAACTCAATTATCCCTGGAAATTAGATCAACTTCATCTCCTAGACCTTCGCTTTGCCTCTGAGTCAAAATGGCGAAGCTCTAAGCTTTTTCTTTCGCATAACATTTGCCAGCCCAACAGCTCCTTCTCTAAATGGCATACCCATGAGGGCAAGTAATCTATGTGCCTCTTTATCTGTCTCAGCTGATGTTGCTATGCAAACATCCATTCCTCTTGGCTTACCAAGAGCATCATAACTTAGCTCTGGGAAGATATTATGTTCACGAAAGCCAATGCTATAATTTCCATGACCATCAAAGATATTGGGGTTTACACCTTGAAAGTCACCACGTTCGAGGAAGCCCAAGATTAATTAACCGGTCAAGGAAAGAAAACATCACCTATCAAGAAGTAGATATGAGTTTGCTGCACAAAAGCAAATAACATATGATGGTAGAGCAGCAAACCGATTGTCCAAGTTCAGACCATGTGAATTTCTCTTCAGCTATTGATCATTGCAATTCAAGTTTTGCTGAAGTCTCTTCAGCTATTAAACGTTCCATATATATATATATATATATAGCATTTTTTTAAGGTAAGTAATGTATTCAGTCATGTACATAGTTGTATTCTGTATTCAAATATATTTTGAATTGTAATATAACAATGTATATGTATTTAACCACATTCACTATATATACATCTTTTTTATTTTACATATCATTAAACTTAACATTAATGCATTTAGTCATCTACTTTTAAAAAATTCATCCAGCAACAATCAAATACATTTAGAAACCAATAAGTAATAGAAAATCTTGAACAAATCCAAAAAAAGTAATTGAAGGAATTAAAATCAGAACATCAACTAATTTCTACAAGTACGCTTATTATGTCCACACTGTCCACATATACTACATGATTGTTGACTCTTCTTATGAAGAATTTCACTTAATGGCTTATCGCACTTCTTCTTTTGCCTTCCAAGAGGTCTCTTCCATTTGGGTGGTAAGACAACTTCCTCTGATATATGTGCTGGTATATTCCATTCACTTCGGTCAGGGAGAGGATACACGGGGACATCGTATATCATTACAACAGACCTTGGTTTGTAATAGTCCAAGCAATAATCATTTGGCATTAAAAACTTGCTTTTCAAGACAGCCCAAGCTATGTTGGCCCGTTGACCACCCTTCGCCGAAAAATTATACTATGTACAAGGTAAAATATTACTTGTTATTGATTAAATATAGACTTTGAGCACCCTTGCATAGCCCATTGGCAAAAGGTATTCAAAATTTAAACACCCTTATTGAATTTCTTGGCTTCGCCACTGGTGGGCATGGTGGCTCGTCCACTTGGAACCTCCCACAACTGCAAATTTTCTCTTGGAGGCAAACGGTGTAATATTTTCCTTCATCATTCACCATGTGCAAGTGTTCAGTTGATGGTACAACCTACATTAAACGGGAAAATATATGTTTTGGACATATGTACAAACATTTGTCCATGAATACATGGAGTACATACAGTATTCATGAATACAAGATAAAAATATTGAAATACACCGAGTACAAACACTAAAATAAACATAATATAAACAGTGAATACATTTAATTTTGAAATACAGTAATACAGTAAAATACACTGAATACAAATAGAAATACAGTGAATACAACCAATGAAATATACTGAAACAACAGTAATAACATGTATCGGAAATAACTAAAATACTGTTAATACAAATATAATTGGATACGCTGAATACAAAATAGTGAATACTATTGAATATAACGAATGCAAAAATAAAAACAAATATTAAAACACACTGAATACAACAGTTAAATACAGGCAGTAGGTTGATTACATACCTTATACATGAATACATGCTTTTAATAAATATTCATACATGTATTAAGGTATCACGTTGTAACTTTCTTATATATTACACCATAATTTAAAATAACATATACGTTATACCGATTGAATACATGCTGTCGACGCCCCCTTTTTCTAAAGCGAAATCGGGTTTACGATATTCGGGAAGACAAATCTATTCCCGTTTGGGAATTGGATTTTTGAAGAGTCGCCTCCTAATGATTAAATGCATTAGGACACTAAGGGTTTTGAATTTGAAAAACCAGAGTTCGGGTAAGGGCTAGAAATTATCTCGAGGGGAAGGTGTTAGGCACCCCTCAAGATCCACTAGTGTGGTTCCCGGCCATGCTATGTTGTGACTTTACAAATAATAAATCAAGGCTCAAATAAGGACTTGCAATTAAATTGAAACTTGTGAAAGTAAGTAGAAAGAGAGCAGAGATTTGAAAGGTCTAAACAATTCTAAAGAGAGCAAACAAAGACAAACAAAGGAAAAAGGATCCTAGGTTTATGATTAATATGGATCACTTCAATGCAATACCCAGCAATCACTCCTCAAAGAGGGGTCGCACGTGATATTAGCGCATCGGTCATCATCTCCATATTCTACCCTTCCTACCTCGTAAAGGTTATTTAAACGCGTGGATTGGTCACGAATGCTTATTGCGTGCTATTACCCGTCCAGTCCTATAAGTCCTAGAGGGTATTTAGGACCACTATTCCTACAAGGTAAGGTCTAGGCTGAACCCTTAGGTTAAATGGACAAAATGCTAGGCGACATACATAACAAGTAGGACTACACATAAAGGAACCATGCAAAGGCAAATAAGAGGCTCACAGATCCCTCACAAGTAAACATGTAATTAGCACGTCTCAAACACATTTAAGGTCTTGAAAGAACGCGAGTTTAAAAATCAGTTTTAGCAGAAGGTTTAACCACAACTAAGTGATCCAAAGAGTGTTTGACTTGCAGAAATACAACTAAGAAAACAGTTGAGTAAGTAAAGGTGAGGGAACTGTTAAAACATCGTTAAAAAAAAGGATTTGAAAATACAATAGTTTAAGTAAACAAGTATCAAAATAACGTGATCCTGGGCGGAAAGGTACCAGTAATTTAAAAGCTTAATAGAGCACGAATCAGGAAATTAGTGAGAGCATATAAACACGAAACAGGTTTCCAGAAAGAGATTTTCATTAAAAGAGTGGACTTCAGAGAGACGGATAAAAGAGTTGGGAAAGTTAAAAGGTTGAGTAGTTTGAAACTAGTAAAACAAAATCAATCATCTTTATTATTATTGGGCCTAAAGCTTGCCTAGGCGATGTATGTATTGCCTTCTTGTCTTAAAAAAAAGTGGTGAACATGCATATTGATTCCAGTTTTAAAGAGAAGACGCAGTCAAACAAACTTGTGTTGTTAAATTAAATAGCTAGTGAGGCGTTCAGAAATTGCAACCCTAAATAACATGATGTCTAATGCACATAAAGCTCCTAAAGCATGGTCTCTAAATGCGGTAGTAGTTTCATAACAGTTATTTGTTGATTACTAACTAATCACAAAGTAAGTATAACAATCTGAAAGTGAAGATCCTAAAACAGGATATCTAGGTGTAAGATGCATGTCCTACGCATGGCTTCTATTGCACAAATTGGTAAGTAAAGCCCTATAAACATGTTTTCTACCCATTAATTAAACTAAGCATGCATAATCCCTCCCAATTTCACTATAACCCCAATCAGTTGTTTATAAATTATTACAAACCATGATAGCTGAATTACATAATGAAAAAAAATAAAATAAGAAGCTACTCTATAGGGAGCCTTCAACCAGGCCCAATCTTCCAGCCTCACTTCTTTCGAGTTTCACAGCCTTGACCATGGTTCGGGTGCGGCAAAGCTCCCTAAGGGCCCAATGGGGGTCCTTGGCCAATACCAGCACCCAAACATTACAAAAAATGTTTGAACAAGTGCAGTGTGGAATTACCAGCCTTGTGCATCAAAGTTCAATGGGTAATCAAAGGTGCCCAAGGCAATGCTTACACGAAGAGGGGTAGAACCTAAACTCTAGGAGTAGTGAGAGTGATAGAATTTTCTTTAAAGAAATTGAGTTGAAAAGCAGTTTTAAAAAAAGAATGATCCATATAGAACCAGCTTTGAAAGAAAAACAATGGGATAGTTTTGACAAAACTCAGAACCAAAATACCTCATATAGTTCCGGGCAGTAAACACAAACAGGGAAAAGGGGAGTGGGGTAAATAGTTCACATGTAACAACACAGTTGCACCTAGATACCAAAGGAAAACATTTCAAAACTTAGACAGTCAACAGGTTTCAACCAAAGGGCTCATGATCACATGCTGAGAATGTATTGGGGCTAGGGAGTAGGAGAGAACATGCATTAAGCAAACCAGTAGGCATGCTGGATTAATAGGAGGATAGTCACACAGGGGCATGCTAGTTGCAATAAGGACAGCAGAACCATAAGTAAAAGCATAGAAGTAACAAAATAAAGTGTAGCATGTATAAAAGCATATTGTTTTGGATGCTACAAATCAAATAGAGGGCATACCAGTCAAGGATGAGATAGTGTAGAGCAGTAGTGTGCAGGGAAGTGGGCAGTAGTATGCAGACCAAACAATCAACAATGTATAGAGCAGTAGAATAATGGAGCAGCCCCCAAAGATCAATCATTCTTGGCTTTCAGCCGACTGAGTAATCAGTAATCAACAGGAAAGCGGGAGAGGATGTGTAGAAAATAAGAGAGAACACTGAGTATGCTTATGTGTGTAAGAGAGAGTTCAGAGCAATCAACCTTTTTGTTCTTGTGTATGATGTGCAATGTATCCGTGTGTAATGTAAAAGAGAATGGGGGTACTTATAGCTCTCAAATTAAGTGAAAATAAGGTAATACGTATAGACTGATCATAGTTATGGAAATAATACCAATTAGAATCAATTAAAAACTCGGACTCCCTTCAATTAAGGAGTCATAGTTCAAACGGGTACAAATTGTATCAAATAAGGAAAATTATTATTTGCAAGACTGGTATTTCCATAATAGGAGTAGTAAAAGTATACAGAATATTTCAAGTAAGGAAAGTATAAGGACATCATATTGTGCACACAAAATTAGGTCAAAGAATCACGGATGAAATTGAAAATCACAGGGAATTCGTACTAAGTGAGGAGAGCATTTCACAAATGAGGAAGTGATTCAAAATAAGTGTAAAACTTCTAAGGAAAACATATACAAATTTAGGGATTCGAAGAGATGCACACAATCAGCAGAATATTTGGTAAACGATGAACAATTAGACCTATAAAACACAATAGGCATGAAAATCAGAGAACCCTAAGCAAGAAATCACAGAATCAATAGAAGGCTGGAACCCTAATAGCAAAATTAAAGCATGGAACTCGGAGAGTAACCAGAAGATCACACCAACAAGCACATAACACAAACATAAACACATAATACTCAAAAAATCAGAAGATATAGTGATTTCAAAAGGGTTCAGGAAACCCTAGTTTTAAAATAAGAACAAAACGTTGAAAACTTGAACAATCGAAAAGATCTAGTAGAGAGTAGTGTAAAACACAAAAGAATAAGTCAAAAATCGTTTAAAAATACAAGGTTTTTAAGAAAATTAGGGTTTCGTAATAAACCAGTGAGAGGTAAGGAACCTGGCTGTGAAACTCGTTAATAATGATGCTCGCAGCACCATCGAACCATAAACCATCGGAGAAAGGTCGGAGATAAACCAGGCAGAGCTTCCGATGACCATCTTGCATTGTGGAGGCATCTAGAGTCTCGAAGATAGAGGGAATCAACAAGACAAGGTTTCACGGTGGCTGGTGGTCGAGAGAAGTGAGGCTGGAGGTGGCCGGAGAGGCGGTCGATTTATCGGAGACGAAGGAGAGAACCAGAAGGTTCTAGAGAGGGGAGAGCAAGAGTCAGTATAGAGAGAGAGAGAGAGACCGTCTCTGAAATGAGGGGGTTTGGGGGGGGGGGTTTGTTGAATTTAATTTTGGAAATAAAACCTGGGCTGTTGATCTCATTTGATTAACGGCTCAGATTGGATTAAAGCTGGACCGGGTCATTAAATCGGGTATGGGTCGGGTTATTTGAGGACTGGGTCGGGGGTTTTGGGGTTGAAATTGGGGTTCAATTTGTGGTTAAAATTGGAATGTAAAGGGGTTATAATTGAAATGACAACAAAGTGATTTTTTAAAAAATCTTTAAAATAAGAAAAAATACCAAAACTC